GGAAAGAGTTAGAAACCCTAGTTTGTGTGCCTGTCCCCTCAGCCCAGCCCTCAGAAAGGATAGTGAGAGGCTGCTGTAGTTAAGCTCCATCTGTGGTGGTTGGGTTTTTTCCCAATTCTCCCATGTCTTGACATGCCAGAAAGTTCTGGAGTGAAACAACAGGTTTGCTGGGCAGCAAACCTTCAGTTCCACAGTTAACAATCTGTTGCTGTAACTGGGGAAATGTCCTGAGGCAAGAGATTTTTAGATTTGTGTGGTCTTTACCTGTGAGCATCATATTACTCAGTGCTGATGAGCAGGTATTGGCCACAGCCATGAATCTTAACTCTGACTAAATTCAAGAACATGTTTTGTAGAAAGCTCTTTGGGAAAGATACAGGGTAGGGGTGACCTGCTGGAGAGCAGCTCTGGGGAGAAGGACTTTGGGGTCCTGGTGGACAACAGGGTGACCATGAGCCGGCAGTGTGTCCTGGTGGCCATGAAAGCCAATGGTGTCCTTGGGGGCATGAAGAAGAATGTGGCCAGCAGGTCAAGGGAGGTTCTCATGACCCTCTGCTCTGCCCTGATGAGGCCCCATCTGGAGAACTGGGTCCAGCTCTGGGATCCCCAGTTCATGAAGGACAAGGAGCTACTGGAGAGAGTCAAGCACAGGGCACTGAGATGCTGAGGGGATGGAGCATCTGCCTGTGAGGAAAGGCTGGGAGAGCTGGGGCTGTTCAGCTGGAGAGGAGGAGCCTGAGGGGGGATCTGATCAGTGCTGATCAATGTCTACAGGAGCATGGGCCAGACTCTGCTCAGGGGTGCCCAGTGACAGGACAAGGGGCAATGGGCACACACTGGAGCACTGTGGGATCTGCTCTAGGGGATCCTGCTCTGGCAGGGGTTGGATGGATGATCTCCAGAGGTCCTTTCCAAACCCCACCACTCTGTGACTCTATGACACAGCTAAAACCTTGATGTTCTTTTTGCTTGGAGTGCTGGGGGAGCTCTGCCCTTGAACTGGGGTTGTAATTGTGAGGGATGATTGGGAAGTGGACGTTATATGCGTGAGGTGTGTGTCCAGAAAGTTGAAGAGCTACTTGTTACCTCCAGCTCACATCTCTTGCTTTAAAGCATTGATGGGAATGGCACCACCTCTCTGGGTCTGACTCCTCACTCGCTGAGATCCCTCTCCTCACCCAGCTGGTTTGGGCTGGGTGCTGTCCTAACTTCTTGCAGTTTTCCCAGTTCCTGCCTGTGTTCCTTCATTTTACTTTCTCTCTGAGAATGTCAGGAGTTGAGGAGGAGCAGATGCCACTGAGTGTGCTCGTGTGCTGAGTCACGGTGCTGCTTCACAGCTGTCTGGGGGAGAGGAGAGATCTGCTGGGCTTCCTGAGCATTTGAGCTGCCCTTGGTGGTATTTGATAGGGTGTTCTTTTTCTTCTGAGGCACAGCAAGAAACTTGAATACATCCATTGATTAGGGTGGGCTGGATTCTACTCTTCAGAAAAGCATGTAGTTCATGTTTCCCAACATAGTGTCCACTCCAGCCTTTCCACAGCAGTCAGCAGAGGTGACCTTCCTGCCTGTCTCCATGTCTTGTAGGCATTCAGAGAGCCTGCTCTTTTGCCTGTGCTCTCCAGGTGCTGCCTATTGACTCCTTATTTCATGCTTCTTTCTCTCCAGTTATCAGACACTGTTTAACTTGGTGAAACCATCTGAGAAGGAAAAAAGTTGTATAAACTCATGGTGTGACCTTGTTACTTGCAGAGAGCTTTGTGTGACCTTCTAAAGACTGGAAATATGTGGAAGGGGGGTGTGTGTGTGTGTGTATTCAGAGCTCACTAAGAGAGTAAGACCAGGTATGAATTCTTACTGTGCAGGATCTTGTTCAGGAAAAAAATGTGTAGTTCTAAGATTAAGTAGGTATTTATTTCCTTAAGGGAGTCAGGGCCTGCATGTGGGCAAAGAATTGGAACATAATCCCAAGAGTGTCCTGTTTCTGGATTGTTAAGATGCTTCCTCTTCAGAAGAGCCTAACCTGGCATTATTTTCTTGCAGATAAGCAAGGGCAGAACCACCTCAGGGCTGCAAAGCTCAACTTAGTGGATCTGGCAGGAAGTGAGAGACAATCAAAAACCGGAGCCACGAGCGAGCGGCTCAAAGAGGCCACCAAAATCAACCTCTCCCTCTCTGCCCTGGGCAACGTCATCTCAGCCCTGGTGGATGGCAGGTGTAGGCATGTCCCCTACCGAGACTCCAAGCTGACCAGGCTGCTGCAGGACTCCCTGGGAGGCAACACCAGGACACTGATGGTAGCGTGCTTGTCCCCAGCTGACAGCAGCTACAGCGAGAGCCTCAGCACTTTGCGCTACGCTCACCGGGCAAAAAACATCAAGAACAAACCCTGTGTCAACGAGGACCCCAAGGATGCTCTGCTGAGGGAGTATCAGGAGGAGATTAAGAAGCTGAAAGCCATTCTAGCTGGACAGATGGGAGCAAACAACTTGTCAGGTAGGAGAGCCCTGAGTGGCTGCAGAAATGTTTTATCTTTGACAGAAAACAAGAGGCTTTTACACAAAAAATGCTCACTGGATTCACCTCAGCTTGTCCCTTACCTGTTGGAGGAAGAGTTCTCCATTCTGATAGTAGACTTTTCTTTCACTGTTGCCAAATTTACATTATTCTACTGCTAAAGGCCACCTCAGTTATCCAGTATTTTCAATAATGACAAATTCTGTTAGAAAATGCTGATGTGATTAAAATCCTCAGCCCTTCTGAGTCATTCTGGCTAGAATTTGGTCAGTCACAGAAGTGGGGTTTGAGCTGGCAGAGCAAAAATGAGCAGTGAAAGAAATAATCATTATAGAATCATGAAATGGTTTGTGTCGGAGGGACCTTAAACATCATCTTGTTCCAACCCCCCTGCACAGGCAGGGACACCTCCCACCAGCCCAGATTGCTCCAAGCCCCATCCAACCTGCCCTTCAACACTGCCAGAATGTTACATTCTCTATTAAATATATATATGTTTTTAAAGTTAGCCTTCAGCCCCTGTTCTCTTACCCTGTGAATTTTTAACACTTCAAGACAAGTTTTGCCCTGCTGATGGCAGCTTGGCCCTTTTGAGAAAGATCCCCTAAAAAAAAGGACAATTTCAGCAGAGGAATAAGGCTGAAAGATATTTCCACCCCTTTCTACCACCTTTCAGAAACAGCTGTGAAGAAATAAGGCAATTTCCATACATGTTTCGGCTCCTTCCAACTATCTTTTATCTTTCAAATCTGGAAACAAGTCCCCTGTTATTCTGTGGAAGAGATTAGATTTAGATTTGCTTTCATATACCTGAGGCTTAAAACCTCTCCCCTCTGCCTGGGTCTGACTCCCTCTCTCCCCACACCTTTGGAGTCAGGGCCATGGGGGTTTTGGCAGCACAGGAGCACAGTGTGAAGGAGTGTGTGGATTGTGATGTTCTTTGCTGGCAGCCAGGTTCTTTGTTCTGTTTCCAGGTATTCTGCAGACAATCCCACCCAGAGAATTGTGATTTTTATTTCTGCTTGGCTTTGCAGGGCTGCTACCTGCTGAGACTGCTCACCTGGCAACAGAGCCAGCTCCTCTCCACAAAGCCCAGGTAGATGTTGAAGCAGAGAAGCAGCTGATCAGAGAAGTAAGTCAGGGTGGGGTGTCCCATTGTGTCTTTGACTAAAGCTTGTATGTCTTTACAATAATAATTACAAATACAGAGTATGGCTGGGTGGTTCAGCCTATTTGAATACACAGTTTTTGGTGCTTGGACTTCTCCTGAGGACACAATGAACATGTTGATGGAGCCTTATTTACAGTGCCCTGTTCTCTTAGCCTTGTTCCCACTACTCTGAAGATGAATTGGAATGGATTCCCAAGAAGAATTTTTCAAGTAACTACATGTGAAACTTAGATTCCTCCTGTCAGAGGAGGGAGAAGTAGGTGGGAGGGAAGACACAGTCAGAAATGTTAGGTGCAGTGCAAGGATGAAGTTAAAGAGGGGATATGGACGCTGTGAGGAAGAACAAGTTGAGAGCCAGAAGGAAACAAAACTCTCCTTTACAAAGGAGAGTTAAAACTATGCCCTTTACAAAGTTCCCTCCAGGGCACCATGTCTGCCCAAGATTGTGGTTTCTGGGGGTAACCAGTGACCTTCCATCAGTGCTGTGCCCACTGAAATCACAGAAAACATCAATGAATACGGGGGGTGAAGTTTTACTAGCCTGGACACAAGCTGTGACCTAGAACACACCTGTCTGTGACCCTGGGTACAGCAAGGAGCAGGGCTGTCCCCCCAGGCTGTCCCCCCAGGGTGTTTGCTATCCCTTTCAGGAGTATGAGGAGCAGCTGGCCCAGCTGAAGGCCAACTATGAAGCGGAGCAGGCGTCCCGCGCCCGCCTCGAGGAGGACATCAGCAGCCTGAGGAACCACTACCATCTCAAGCTGTCTGCTCTGGAGGAGAACCTGGGGAAGGAAGCAGGTGTGGATGAGGCAGGTGGAGGGTACATAGTGCAGGCTGATGGTTCCCTGATGCTTGAGGCATGAGCAGACACAGACTGTTTTGGCAAAGCCAGGTTTGTGACAGCCACTGCTGCAGCCAGTGCTGCTGGGCAGCAACAGCAGACTCTGCTCTCAGCCCTCCCTTATCAATACCTTATGTCCCTTATTAACTCTGGCTCTCCTGGGCCACTCACAGAGTCTCTCTGTCCCAGTTTTGTCCCCTTATTTCCCTGAATTATCTTCTCCCTGTCAGGACCAGCCCCACCCTCTCAGCCTCGAGGCGATGGAATGTGATTTTTTTTTTTTGTTGCCCACGTCGCTGTGAGTTTCTCCTGACTTGGCATTTCCCTGGAGCAGGGGGCTGAGCTGCAGGGCTGAGCTGCAGAGCTGACTGGTCTCGGCAGGCACTGCTCGGTCTGGGCTTTGCCCCAGGCCCCGGGAGGCTGCAGCACTCTCCTCAATCACATGCAAATGAGATGCAGCCCTCAGGCTCCCGGTGGGCTATCAGCACCATCGCTTTGCTGGAGGGTGGATGTTCCTTCCTCTCACATGCCTATAAATCGTTGCCAGCTCTCCTCTTCGTTGCTGCTTTTCATTTTGACTCCCTCAATGCCTCAGAGCATGTTTGGCCATGTAATTGTACAGCACTTATTGCCCAATATTAATTCTTTAATCTATATTCTTCATTTTTGATGCTATCACTTTCTAAGGTGAGAGGTTCTTCCCCCCCAGTGACAAATGTGCAGCCCCAGCCTCTGAAATAGGTGATTCGTGTGTGAACATGAGGACTCAGGCTCTCCCAGCCCTGTGAAATCTGCATTTCTTCCCTGACACACCCTCTGGGTCTTGAATGGCTTTGACTGCCCAGCATCAGTAACTGACCTTTTCCTTCCAGACATGTAGTTCTCAGCTTTTGGTGAAGACTTTGTATGACCTTTTCACAGATTTACTCTCCACTTTTGCAGAGCTTGTTACTGACATTGTGGGTATTTCCTCTTCTACTCTTCAGCTGCTACGAGGACTACTGACGAGACACCTCTGCATGAAGACTCTGTTGCTGCAGCAGATGAAGAACCAACGTTAGCCCAGGTATCCTTCAGGCTACTACCCCAAGTGGGTAGTGTTCTGCTTCATCTATCCCAGTCCTCTCATTGTGTACTTTTGGAGCTGCAGCCTTTGGTTTTCTCTTGTTCTCAGGGCCCAGCAGCACCTTGGGCTGCCCAAGGGGCTGGTGGTGTGAGCAGGGACAGTGCTGGAGCAGAGGTGGCTGTAGCTGCTGAGGGAATTTCAGTGCTTGCAGACCAGCAGCAGGTGCTTGCCAGGTCAGTGACTACACTGCTAACTGCCTCGTGTGCATTGCCCAGGCACACACAAGCAAGAATCAGCCCTGTTCTTCCATCACACCACGACTGCCAAGCTTTGGCTGTGAGTTCAGCACAGCACAGAGCTGGCAGACATCTCCTCTTCACCCCCAGATTCACTTTTTGTCCTCTTTGGGCAGATAAGTACCTCTTAGCTGTGGCATCTGATGATGCCACGTGCCAGAACTATGAGAGAAAAATCTAGAGAGGTTTTTGTCAGCAGATGTGGATGCAAAATTTGCTATCCTGCTAGCAAATCCTGTCTAGATCTGTTGGCAGGAAAGCCTCTTCCTTCTCTGTCCTTTTGCAGCTGTAATTTATGAGGAGTTTAAGTTGAGTCTGGCAGTGGCTGACAGAGCTGAAGTGCCCTAACAGGTCATGGAGGTGGCCTCATTTTCCTCTTAAGAAGGGTTCTTGAAGGGCATTTAGAGCCCTCTCCTGTCAGCACAAGTGAGGTAGAGGTCTTCCTGCTGCTCCTCCGTGTGTGGGTGGAGGAGGGGGTGTCCTTTATGACTCTCCCTTGTCACTGGGGTCCCTTTTGCCTCTCACTCATGTGTCTGGCAAGGTCTGCAAGACATCAGCCAGAACTGACATCCAGATTTCCCAATAATCATGTTTTAGGGGCAGCATTTTAGCCCCAGGGCTTGGAGCACAGGGCTGAGAAGGGAGGGCTGCCAGGGCTGGTTCAGAAATAAACACTTTAAGCAAATTTTGCTGATTTATCTTTCTTTACTCCGTTGAATGAACTTATATTAAAATCAGAAATACTCAACATAAGATACATTGTGGATGATGGAGTTTGATTCTGAAAAGTCTTGTGTTTTTTAAGCAGTTTTCAACTTTACAGTGAGCTGTACTGCCACGTGCTTGCTCAGTTGGGCCTCTCCCAGCTGAAAAAAGGAGTTCTCAAAAATCTAGAATCTGTAATTTGGGAGCAATTCTGCCTGTCAGTGGAGAGGTCTCCAAAGCAACCTATTGTAGCCTTCCTTTTTGTGACAAACAAGCAAAAAATGCTCTTCCAGATCTATAGTGAACATCAAGGCTCTCTGCAGATGAGGCAGGAGGTTTTGATTCTGCAGGTGTGGGGCTTTTCTAAGCTGCCTGTTCAAGGCTTTACACACCAGGGCACTGGGAGAGCTCTGATGTTCACTCCAGAGAGCAAGGATTCAAGCACACATTAAGCAAACAAAACTCAGGGCTACTTGGCAAGTGCAGAACAGCAGAATGTCAGGTCAGCTCTGCTGGAGAACGAGCTCTTTTGGATGGGTTTTAAGATAATTAAGAAGCTATTATCAGCAGAGGTTTGATCAGCAGTGGGATTTCCTCCCATCTGAGCCAGCACTGGCCAACCTGAGCTGTCTGCTCTGCTGCAGATCCCTGTGCACACACAGAGGATGACTCTGGCTTTATTCCCACGTTGGAGCATGGATGCGAGACTGGGGGTCTGGCCCGGGCTCAAGCAGCAGTGCTGGGGTCACTCAAGTCATGAATGGCTGATTCTGCCCCAAAAGGAAGCTGTGCTGTGCCTTCCAGCTGTACCACTCCCACACCCACCATTTCATTTGTGGAATTTTAGCACATTTTGCCTTGAGAGTCTTTCAAAACGAGAAATAAAAATTGAAATATAAATTCCACAAAACAGAAAGAATTCTGTGAACACAGAGATTTCCAGACATACTTGTTGATAAAGGTACTTAGAATAAATAACATGAGCTTTGCCTTGGGCCCACAGGAGTGTCTGACAGAAACTCTTGCCATGGTTACTTAGGGCAGCAAATCCCATCCAAAAATCACTATTTTTCCACACTATGTGTTCCCAGACATCATCTAGGTAAGGCCATGCATCCTCCACGCTCACACAGACAATTCTTTGGCAAGAGCTCTTTTCCAGGCTGCAGATGCTGGAGCAACAGGTAGTTGGGGGAGAACAGGCAGAAAACAAGGACCTGAAGGAAAAGCATCAACGCCGGAAGAAATTAGCGGACGAGCGGCGGGTGCAGCTGGTGGCCGCGCTGCAGCAGGAGGACGAGGAGAGCAGCGACTGGGTTCTGCTGAATGTCTATGACTCCATCCAGGAGGAGGTCCGAGCCAAGAGCAAGCTGCTGGAGAAGATGCAGAAGAAGGTGAGCAGCTCCCTGCTGAAGAGGTAGAGAGCCCGTCTGGTCAGGTTAAGGGGGTGTTTTGGGGCAGTGGCTCAGCCGCGCGAGGTTCCGCAGCCCTGCCTGCCTTGGTACTTAGGAAGTGGTTTGTGGTTTTATGAACTGTTAGACACAGTAGCCCTCAGGGTGGTGAATTCAGTGGAGAAATCCCCAAACTCCACCTATTTTCAAGACCAGTCTCCTTATTGTGCAGCATGCTGGCTGGAGAAGCATAGAATCATTTTGGTTGGTAAAGGTCAAGTCCAGCTGTTAACTCAGCCCTGCCAAGGCCACCACTGACCCACGTCCCTCAGCACCACATCTACACTGCTCTGAAGCACCTCCAGGGATGGGGACTCCACCAGGGCCTGACAACCCTTTCCTGGAAGAAATTGTTCCCAAAATCCAACCTAAACCTCCCCTGGGCAACTTGAGGCCATTTCCTCTTGTCCCATCCCTGGTTCCTGGGGAGCAGAGCCCGACCCCCCTGGCTCCAACCTCCTCTCAGCAGCTGCAGAGCCAGCAGGTCTCCCCTCACCTCCTTGTCTCCAGGCTGGACACCCCCAGCTCCCTCAGCTGCTCCTGCTCACACTTGTGCTCCAGCCCCTTCCCCAGCTCCCTTGCCCTTCCCTGGACACGCTCCAGCCCCTCCATGTCCTTCTTGTCCTGAGGGGCCCAGAACTGACCCCAGGATTCCAGGTGCCCCCTGCCCAGTGCCCAGCACAGGGGGAAGATCCCTGCCCTGCTCCTGCTGGCCACACCAGTGCTGACACCAGCCAGGATGCTGGTGGCCTCTTGGCCACCTGGGGACATCCAGCCACTGTGGAGCACTTCTGGTGCTGGGAGAGGATGTGACTCCCTCTGCTGACCTCTGTCATCTGCTGCAGAGCTGCCTCCAGTTCTCATCACTCCAGATACCACACCGGGGCTCCTGGAAGAAATTACACCCTGAAAAGTTTTCAAGGGGGGGGGAGAGGAGGGGAAAGTAAAATAAAACCAATGCTCTTAAATTTTAGGTGCACTTAAAAATCAGTTTAGCCCTGATAAGGCAGAATCAGAGGAGCTTAAAAAAACTGCCTGTGTATGCAGAGTCTTAAATGAGCATGTTAAGAACTTGCTTTATTCTGTATTTAGGCTCCTTTTTCATCAAAGTTAGGAACTGCCAAGGGTTCATTAGCACAGGGTGCAGAACACATAAGATCAACTTAAGATCCACCGAGAGACTTGGCATAATCTCTCTACACAAATCTCTTCCTAATTCTTAACTATCAATTAGAAGCTTTTTGGTGTGTGTCTTTCAGTCCCTCTGCCAGACAAATGCCTGTATTCTCTCCTTTACAATCCCAAGGACTGACTTTGGGTTTATGTCCCAGCTTCGGGCTGCTGAGAACGAGATCAAGGACCTGCAGTCGGAGTTTGAGCTGGAAAAGATCGATTATCTGGGCACCATCCGCCGGCTGGAGCGAGACCTGATGCTCTTCCAGCAGCTGCTGGAGCAGGTGCAGTCCCTGGTCCGGAGGGACTGCAACTACAGTAACATGGAGAAGATGAAGAGGGAATCTGTCTGGGATGAGGAAACTGGCTGCTGGAAAATTCCAGAGCCCGTGATTCAAAAAACCCACCTGCCTGCAGGTGAGAGGAGCTGGGCAGGTCAGGCTGGGGCTCCACGCAGTGACATCTGCCCTGGACACAGTTTGTCTAGAGAAATTGAATAATAACAGCATCTAATGGGAAGTGTGGGATGGATCCTTTGGGAATCTCTGTAAGGATCCTTCAGGAATTTCTGTGAGCTGGGGGAGCATCAATTGTCCTGGAGACCACGACCCTTTAACTCTGTCTCTTCTCCCAGCAGTTCCATCCCCAGCACAGCTCAGACCTGCTGGAAAGAGCCCCGAGAGCAGAGACCAAAGGGTACGGTGCCTTCCTCCTCCCTCTTGTCTCCCATTTTACGGAACTGGCTGCATTTCTAAGCCGTGACCTGAGGGCCAGTGCACAGCCCGATGCTGCTGCTGCTTCTCACCCGCAGCCCGAGGAGGATCATT